AGGTACAAACGTCTATTATTTGGCGTGTGTTCAGCGAGTGAGCAGTACCAACATGAGATATCCACAGCTTTAGCTGGAATAGAAGGAGTCGATAATATATCTGACGACATCATAGTACATGGCCCGGATCAGGCAACTCATGACCAACGCCTATATAAGACAATGGAACGCCTCAAGCAGCATGGCTTAACTCTCAATGCTGAAAAATGCCTATTCAATGTGGACAGAGTGATTTTCATGGGAATTCTTCTCTCTGAAAAAGGGATTGGCCCAACAGAAGAAAGAATCAGAGCCTTGCAAGAAACAAGGGAACCTGCCACCGCCAGCGAAGTAAGAAGCTTCCTGGGATTGGCCAATTATAGCAGCAGGTTTATTCCTCACTTCGCTACTATCACTGAGCCACTAAGGAGCTTGACCAGAAAGGCTGTTCCATTCCACTTTGGACCTGAGCAGAAAACCGCTTTTAAGATTCTGAAACAGAGCATGGCTGACGCAGGAACACTTGCATATTTTAACAAAGGCGCAGCAACCAAAGTAATAGCTGATGCCAGTCCAGTCGGCCTCGGAGCTGTGTTACTACAGAACCAAAATGAAGCATGGGTGCCAATTTGCTATGCAAGCCGCAGCTTGACAGAGTGTGAGCGCAAGTACTCCCAGACCGAAAAGGAAGCCCTCGCTCTCGTTTGGGCATGTGAGAGGTATCATGCATACATTTATGGCATGAAATTTGATCTGGTAACTGACCACAAACCGTTGGAGGTCATCTACGGGCCACGTTCCAAGCCCTGTGCCCGCATCGAACGGTGGACAATACGGTTACAACCCTACGACTTCCGAATTGTATATACTCCAGGGCAGAATAATATAGCTGATCCTCTTTCCCGCCTGCTTAAGCAAGACAAAGTGACGAGTCATCCACATGGGGCAGAAGAGTACATCCGATTCGCAGCTATCAGTGCCACTCCCCAAGCATTAACCACGAGAGAAGTCGAAGAAGCATCTGCAACAGATGAAGAATTAAAAGTCCTGAGAGAAGCAATCAAAACTGGCAGATTTGAGAAGTGCAAAAACTATGCACCAGCCGCAGGAGAACTGTGTGTGATTGGACAGCTAGTCTTGAGAGGTACCCGTATTGTGTTACCAAACAAACTCAGAGCTCAGGCAATCAGCTTAGCCCATGAAGGACACCTAGGAATTGTGGGAACAAAGCAAAATTTAAGAAGTAAGGTGTGGTGGCCTCGTATGGATAAGGCAGCAGAGAAATTCTGCAAGTCCTGTCACGGATGTCAACTGGTATCTCGCCCAGACCCACCTGAGCCATTGAGATCCACGACATTACCAGAAGGTCCTTGGCAAGACCTAGCTATAGACCTCCTAGGACCACTTCCTTCGGGACACTCAATCATTGTTGTTGTGGACTACTACAGTCGTTATTATGAGTACGCCATCATGATGTCAACCGTCACAGAGAAAGTAATTGACAACCTGGAAGAGATTTTCAGCCGCCATGGCCTTCCTCTGACCATAAAGTCAGACAATGGTCCACAATTCCGCTCCGAAGAATTCCGGGAATATTGTAAGCAGAATGGAATTGTTCACACCAAGACCACACCAAAATGGCCTCAAGCCAACGGGGAGGTAGAGAGACAAAATGCATCGCTGATGAAGAGGATCCGCATTGCCCAAGCCGAAGGATTAGACTGGGTGAAGGAGCTAAGAAGATATGTGACTAAATACCGAGGTATTGATCACGCGACAACTGGTAAGAGCCCTGCGGAATTATTGTTTAACAGAAAGATGAGAGGAAAGCTACCAGAGCTACATGCCGACCATCACTTGGACCTGGAAACTCGAGATAGAGATGCCGAAGTGAAAGCAAAGACCAAAGTAATAGCTGATAAATCCATGAATGCAAAACCATCAGAAGGTCAAGTTGGTGATCAAGTCCTGGTGAGGCAAGAGAAAAGAGACAAGTTTTCCACGCCATTTAATCCAGTACCATTCCAAGTGGTTAGCAAGACCGGTAACAGTGTTGTTGTGGAAACTCCAGGTGGAACGCAGTATTCAAGGAATACATCCCATGTCAAGAAGTTTGTGAGCCCTGACAATCCGGAAGAACCACCTGTCAGTGTCGATGTACCGACAGCACCTGAAATTACCGTGGTACCAAATCAAGTGATGAGTGGATCTACACCAGTAGTGCCTACAACACCTCCCAGTAGACCCCTAACTCATCTCACACCTTTAGCACAAGCAAGTGCAGGAAGCAAATCTGGTACAACCTCTGCTAGTAAGAATGCAGCAGTTGATCAAGCAACAGTACCTAGCCCACCAGCAACACCAAAAGGTGGAAGACCTCAGAGACAGAGGAGACTCCCTGGGAGATATAAAGACTTTGTTTTAAAATGTTGAACTTCGTTTGAAACAGTGAACTTTGATTCGAAATGTTAAATGTTGTTTTGATACAAGGACTGCTTAGAACCGGTGAATCTCGTGTTGAAATTAAGCGAATTAGTTATTACCAGCTCTCCGTCCAATTTTCAGATTCGCATGTTTTGTTTTGATTAAGTCTTAAGGACTATTGTTTTCTTTCTTCAAGAAAAGGAGGGATGTCATGTATTACATGACGTACTGAGCGCAGACAGGCTTCATGTACTCATATACGAAGTAGGTAATAAAAGAAGAAGCACATGGTCGATCAGTGTGTAAGTCTTATCTGTACGAATCCAAGGCATAGTATATGCATTAGGAGGATACAACAAGGATTAAGTCTAGGAAATAGCACTTGTTTGTAAACAAGAGCAGAGAGTCCTCAATAATTACTGGACATCTTTTCCTCCCTGTCTTTCTCCAGATTTCATCCCTTAGATTGCACTACTTTGCATAATGAGAAATACATTTTCTCCCTTAGGAGAAAGACAATATGGTATAGTTGATGTGTCAGACATTTCTTAGTTGGGAGGGTGAGATGCACAGTTTTTCTCTGTGCAAGCCTCGTGCAAACCATCAAGTGGAACTACTATATGCTGAAATAACTCTAAGTTTTGGTGCTAGTAATCAGTGGCAGACTCATGGGAAACATCCTAGTTTATGATATATCCAAAGGAATAATTTTTGGAAGTGGATCACTACTTTTAGGTGAGGTGAATGAAAACTGGTGATTAAATTTAATCCACTCTTTGCATATCAACCCGGTTAGATCTTGCAACACCACAATTGTCGTTGTCACCGGGTTTAGTAGGACATGAATCTCTGTGGTGATAACAATAAACTCTGGTTTGTGTGAATCTGATAAATTAAGGGGAGTTGCCTCAAGTGCACCAAGAGCAGTTGACTATAACACACCAATCTCAAGTCTACCTTTTGAAGACTTGACACCATACAAGTGACCATGATTCCAAAGAAACATCATTAATTCAATTTAGACACCAACCTTAAGTCCACCTTTTGAAGACTTGACACTGGACAGGTGACCATGGTTCCAAGGAAACCTCATAATTTATTTTCAAAAATCATGTGCACTGTTCATCCATTCTTTAGCCATGTAAATGTTTACCCTCTTCATTCATGGAGTTTATATTACACAAGAATGATTTTTTTGACATATGCAACCAGTAGCCATCAAAGCCACAGCTGTTCAACAAGTGATAATTTATTGAGCAATTTCTTATTCATTAAAATGAATTAAACCAATGCGTTGAATAAAATTATTATAACAAACTAGTCTAGTTCAAAGTCATTTCAGCCATTTTCCTAGCAATTGTCTTATGCAAGAATCATAAATTAACAGAACATCAAGAAGATGAAAAGGTCTCATAATTTACTACATTCATTGAGAGGTCTGGCATGCTACTTCCATACTATCCAGTACATAAAATATTCTCTAACTAGCTGGATAGCTTGATCCGTATGGACAACAAGTAATTAATTAGCTGCATGCTTGCAAAACTTACAAAGCTTGGCGAGTTAAAAAGTTCATATTTCATGTCATATAATACAGTATAAATTACCTACAAATATGCTGAAAAAATACTCTCTTCTTACCACTTCAAATACATCTCCAAATTCACATAAAATATTTATTTGCATCGCATATAAAAAGTTGTGGATTCTATCGGCAGCGCCGACTATAAATAGCCTTATACCCACATGCTAAAACTGATACAACTATGTTAAAATTTCTTAATTCTCTTTTTCTCTGAATAGATTCTACTCATTTGACTTAAATTTGCAACGAATTCAAATAAACGACATTCGCATTTAGGGTCCTGTAAAAATTACAGCTACCTAAGATCCCACTAAAATTTGCATAACTTGGTCGAGATCGTCAAAATTATGTTCGTTTGCTCGCTCAAGCTTTACGCTGTCACTACATCTGCTGGGCAAACTCCGCGCTGCTACACTGGTTGATCCAAGATTCCACACGCTGCAAAACTCGTCAAAATCTATCGGAAACGATCCGTTTGGAACGTCGAAGTCGTAGAGCGAAACATCTACGTCTTTAAACTCCAGTTCTTCGGTTAATTCCAATCCCAATAGACTGCCGCAAGTGAATTCTCGAATGATTTCATCCGAGTTGGAGGTGACCGCTCTTTCACGTTCTTCGAACTCCGGGTTATTGTTGTTCGAATCGGCAGCAGAGCGCGTTAAAGGGCTTTGAGTGAGTAGTTCTGATTTTTCTTTGGCGGACACTTCGAGTAGCTTAGACTTTTCCATGTCAAGCTCAAGTTCTTTCACCATTTTGTCGCCCAGAATATTCAGTTCTTGTTCAAAAGTTAGAGAACTTTTTGAAGTTTCACAAGCGTCGCGTGATCGCGTGCCGATGTTAAGACCGGAGCGATTCGTTGGTTCGTGCATGTTGACTACTCTGGCGAATGTTTCCTCGTCGCTAGGTCCTTTCAAATCATTTTTTTCTAAACTCCTCCGTTCTTCTCTAATGTCTTCTTCGATGAGACGAAGCGTATTGGAGATGAGCACGGTTTTAAAGAGGACGGGCTCTGGCCGTGTAAAGCTTTTCTGCAGTTTGCAGATCGAAATATTGAACACTGTTTGTCGTTGAAGACAGCGGCCATGCACCTCATGATCGCCATCAATTTCAGTAAGCTTGCGTTTAACTCCGTGTGCACGTTCTGTTATCATCCTAAAAGAGGAGAAAAATGATTCAGGTGAGAAACATTTAACACGGGGTGAATGAACTATTGCATCGTTTGACATTCTCGTAAGGCTGCAATACCGTAAACCTTAAAGCGCAGTCGTACACACAAAAAACCCGCTAGTCTTGCATAAATCCGTTCCTAATCAAAGTTGAGAAATTCAAAACCGACTGACAAAGGCATGGACGAAATACGAATTGCCGCGAGTGTCCGCCAGATAGTTCGCTTCTTAAAAAGTCGGGAAACTCAATCGTGGAAGTCCGAGGTGGCAACATTGTCGAAGTTTAGCAGGTAGATGAAGTAGTGCTCTAATCAGTTGACAACTTACCGACTGTCAACGGGGATTTCGCAGATTTTAGTCCGTATTCTTGCAGATACTGTTATGCAGAGTGTCACGCCAGTATAAAAGTACGCGGGAAAATTTTGAAACGGCTCAAGCACTGTCTTTTACAAACAATAAAAGAGGATAAAACGGTATTCACGAGAGAAACATCGGCCGGTCAGTATTGCTTGACTTTTTTCCCTGCCTTCCCCAAGTTCAAGCATCGAGACGGCTGACGTCACACGCCTTTTTTGGGCATCAATGACAGGTATCATTCACAGGTATTCCATATTTGGGGGAATGTCATGTAAACAACAATATCAACTTCCTCCTATAGTACAAATCACACTTTCGCTTTCGGAATGAAGATTTGTAGAAAAACAATCCGGGACAAATAAAGATTGAGGAAAGTTTTAAGACCCTCACCGTTACGACTAGTATTAATGAAATAGTACAGGAAAAAAAAACAGGAAAGGGGATAAGAGAAAATCAAACGAAGTTCCACAAACGGAAATCAAGCCTCAAGAAGAGTTGTGGCTTCTCAGATCGATTTGAAAGACTAGCAAATATTGCTTAAGGCTCAGAAACATTTCACAGATTACTAAATTTGACCGTGAAATTTTGTACAGTGCGATATTAAACCATTCAATTCTTATACGTTTAAAATTAATCGAAAACAAACCCGCGGAGGTTAGAGTTGTAGGGTGAGTTGGACGACGGCGATTGAACGGCCCACAAGTTCCGTTACGTTGGAACGTGGGCATTCACATTCAGCCTACTTGAACCATGTGGCAATGGTCTTCAGGTGGTACAACAACAAAATTAAACAGTCCTCTTTTCCATATGTATTATATTTGAGTTAGAGACAAATCAGAGTTAGATGATAAACTTTAGGAGACGTGACATCTAACAAAGCAAACAAACAGTTGCCGATCTCAAGAAGCGGGGTTGTGCACGTCTGTTCACTTTGACTTGGGGAACATTATGACTACGTACCACGAGCTCCCTCCAACACTACATTACGAGTTGCATGAAAATTCTGCATGATCAAATTTCCGTGCATTTGGCGGACTGTCCTCGATCGCGGACATAAGTTTTCGCAGAAAAATTACTACGCGAATATAAGATGGCCCAAAAATTACTACCCTTAGTACAATAACATCACTTTAGTGTTGTGTAACATAAAATAATCTTAAGAAAAATTTCTCTACCATGCACAGTCTGCTGTAACTCGACAAGTTATAAAACTTGCCACAAAAATTACGTTATTTTATTTCATAGGTTTTTTAAATCGATTCAATGTGAGCTAAGGTTAATAGCAAGACTGTTTTCAAACAAAATCTCTTTTTCCTCAGAAAGTAGTTTTCAAACCTAACGGACTGTTGACACCCATCTTGAAAAAAGGCTTTAACATGACGACATCAAAACATGTAGGCGAATCAAAACTCAGATTTGATCTTCTTTTTCCAAAGAAATCCCAATCTTTTCACCAATTAAACATTTCGTTAATAACAAAAAGAAAAAAAAGGAAAAACGCTCGTTACACTTAAACATCGCCATCTTACCTCAAACCTGTTAACCGTGATCGGAGAAAAACCGTAATCGTCCGTCCTGAGAAGCCGTTACAAGCTGTGATGAAAAGGGAAAAATACTTGAGTTAATATATGTACCGCCTGCTTCTACACGACCTTGTCTTACGCTAGGTTAACTCTGACTTATATGTAGGGCTGCAGACATTGAAAGCAAAATTACTTGTATGTTCTAGTTTCCAAAATCACCTGATTAATCAGAGATGGGGTTGACGCAACCAGCAGAACGAAATGTGGGTTGAAGTTTTGACTGATTTTATTTCTTCACCTCCTTCACTAGGTTTTTAAGAGGAGCGGTATTAGCTGGTAATTGGTTCCGAACTAAAAACAGGAAATACCTTTGTTTGAAATTTTATTATAATTTTCGGTTATTTGACGTCTCCGAAAGTTCTCTAAAACTGACCCTGCTACAAAAAAATCGAAATCGGATGCAATCTAAACTTAATAGGAAATAAAAATTACAACAGCTTTTATCAGATAAAGTATGCTTCAAAGAGTTCGCTTCTAAAAGTTCGCTTCGCCCTCATTCAATAGCCAAATGCGTAATGAAGGCTCACTGCTATGTCAGACATACAAAAAGTGTCAATCGTATATCTTAATGTACAGGGCTCCTTTAACACCTGAGGTTGTGCAGGATGAAAGGCTACTTCAGATACCACGTCTGTGTGACCAGTGAGCCGATGACAAAATGTATTTCCTCGAATGTCGTAAAGGTAGGCCTGAAAACGAAAAAAATATTGTACATGTTTTCTTTAGTTTACGAATATACGTCGATACTTATAAAAAGTTGGAGTTTAACTAAGGCCCTTATCATAAAAAAAGATAAATGTGACCATAAATTCCGGGAATTCGAAAAATCTTTTTTCTTAGTGAAAGATGTTTTTTTCTTCGTCTTGTCACGAGCGTGGGACAAAGAAAAGATTCTGAGTCCCCATGAGGAATCGAACCTCAGACCTTCGGAATCCACGCTCTGATGCTCTACCACTGAGACTCCACGGTGAGCGAGTTCTTTTACGAAGTTCATAGGACACGCGTCCTGCATACTGCTAGGATCAGCAATGTCGATAGCGTAATGTTTTTAAATAGAAATAAGAGAGATGGTAAGTTTTGAGTTCGGTAAAGAAATAGAGAAAGATGTTTTTTTTTTCGTCTTGTCACGATTGTGGGACAAAGAAAAAAATATTTTTCTTGTTTTAGGATCACATGAAAGTAATTTCCCAGAGCTTTCGTTTACATGATCTCAATCCTGGGTTTTAACCACAGACAAACTAATATTACCACGAGATTAGAATCTTAACTCCTAGACATTCTGAAATTGGGATATTGCTATTTTATTTTCCTGGAGTCACACTGGAGTGAGTTTCAAGAGCATCCGTTAAAGTACAAAGTCCCACGCTAAGTTTTGATAAAACTACAGATTAGCTTATATTACAAAAAACATGTGAACTCAGAAACCAAAATTTGACAACCACAAAAAAACGAATTTTAGTAAAATGATTTCAACTAAAAATGCAGAAGTTGCATTTCTCTTTAATTCTTAATGAACCTTTATTTTTTCGACTCGTAGACTAAGTCGCACATTGCTCGATGTAACTGATCATTTTCATTCCGTATCTATGTACATCAGTCAGCATTGATATTTGCGAAGAAACTCGTCCAAGAAGATAGGTTTCATCTACAAACAGCTGGAGAGAAAAAAACAACGCCCACTCGGATGACTCACTTATTCATTCCTCCGCTGAACACAGGCGTTTATTGATGAAACAAGAAGCAACAGGATGGGAGAGGCTTGTAATATTGGGCGTCGCCTTCTTCCCACGCAATTCTGCCGACTATAAATCATGTTTGGTATTTCACAACTTTGAAAATAACAACGATTTCCCTCGCGGACAATTACAGACATAATAATCCAGTGGCAAAATTTCTAAAAGAAAGCCATTTTTAGTTGCACTGACAGACAAAATACCCCTCATTTCGCAAACATATGATTTGATTTCATTGACGTTTCTAACGCTCCCAAAAAGAAATCTTCAAAACAGATCTAAGAGCTATTTACGTCTAAGTAGGTTACATTTGAAGATGTATGTGTTAGGCAGACGATAAGTCAAGTACATAAGATCATGCTTTTGGCGACATGCGTGTATCTCTCAGGTATATAAAAGCAAAACACTTTTTATTTCAATTCATACCGAGCTCAAAATGTTGAAAAACAAAGGGTTTAAGGTACACAATCGTACTGCATACTGGTCAGCTTTGTGTTCATTGAATATTACGGAAGTGTTTCTACTGATAAACAGCCCTACATGTATATGTAGTGTTGTTTTACGATATTTTCACGCATAAACAACATTTCCGACATACGTAATTACTACAAGGGTATCTTGAGGGATTCACGTGCCCTTAAGCTGAAGCACGCGACATGAAAAGCTCGACGGTATACGATTACCATAACATTACGCGGTAATATAGTTTCCCTTAGATATTTTGTAATTTTCTTGGCTGTATCTACTGGCCGGCTGATTTTTGCTAGGTACTCTAAATCAATTGTGACTTTGCCTTTTTTTTCAATTTTTATTTAACTTGAGACGTTTACTTCGAAAATAAATTTTGCGTTGATATTTCTTCGTTCTCTTTCAAAGGGAAAAAACAAAGAAAAATAATAACGACAACAAAGCTGAAAAAAAAATACAATAAAAAAAAAACAACTACGATATACCCTAACAAACCTTGAGTACCATGCTCCAACAATAAAATAAAGTATTTGTCAAGCTAAGCGTGAAATATTTTTCGAATTTTTCTTTTCATGTGACTTAAGCATGCTAATGGGCGAGTTTGTTAGGCGCATTTTAGAGATGGGCGGCTCCTTCTATTTACCGCGCTAGACACTGGATAGAGAGGTTTGGGTTCCAGTCTTGGCCGAGTGAAAGTGTATTTGGGTCTTATGCACGACAATGCCTCTCTATACTTGGAAGTATAAATGGGTTCAAGCACACAATTATGGAATATAACTGGCACGTTAAAAAAGCTTACCCGAAGTGGACTAAGTAACTGATCAGGGAGAAGGAGTAACTCTCTGGGCCCAGTTCTTCGAAGGCCGATTAGCGCTAACCCACTGTTAAATTTTAATCTAGGTTTCTATGCTTCTCTGTTCAAAAGCTGTTTGAGGACAATTTTCTTCATTTATTTTTAGAGCATTCAATCAACAAATTGAGGACAAAAAGATTTAAGCTGAATTTTTTTTTTCAAGCTTTCAGATCTTAAATAAAATTTTACACTAACCCTGGGTTATCTTAACCCAGCTTTGAACAACCCGGCCCTGGTCGCTATGGCGAACCTGACTAAGATGCCTCAGTAATGCACTCTATATATATATATATTTTTTTTAAGAATAAAAAAATTCGCAGATTCATACCGATCTGTCCTCAGAACCAGTTGCAATGAATCTTGCGCACGGACTGATAGCCACCCCGATTGGCTGCGATCTGTTCACGTGACCATCATACCGGCGAATGCACCTGTTGGTGCGTAAGTCCCATAATTTTATTCCATCAGTAACCGCAGCTGTTAAGAAGAGGTCGTACGCGTTTGGAGGGTGTGAAACAAACATTGAACCCTAGAATCAGATCCACATAAAAAAGGGAACAGAGATAAAATAAACTGAGAAACTTATGTAATATACACAGGCATAAAAAGTCAGTGAGTTTTTGTTAAGGACTGCGAGATTCTCGAGTATAAAACCGTTCTGGGATTTGCACGGCGATTGTTTGGAAATATTTGGACCATTGAAAGATGATAGTGACATCTGAGGGCTCTCGACATTTTAACTTGGGGGGGGGGGGGGAGAGGGAGGGAAGGTTATATTTTGACACGCTGTTAGATTGTACATGAAGTCTAAAGCGCACTCTCTAAACCTAGCAAACTACTACTCCCAATTTTAACTATTTGTGGCTTGAATTTGGAAGGAGAACAAACATTTTCAGAGCAACCTACCTCATTTTGACATATGGTGTGTGCAGGGCGAGTGTGGGAATCCAGGATCACTCGGACTGTACGAGCCGCGTTCATATCAAAGACCTGGATTGACTTATTGGAACCACAGCATAACACTATGTCTGGAGCGTATGTCAAGGAAACCATTAACTGGAGCGGCTTTGCTTCAATTTGCTTAAAATTTTTTAATAAGTAAATAAAAAGCGAAAACAAAAAAGAATCAAATAGTTCCTCGTGTAAGAATTGAGCCATACAGAAAGTGAATTTTTTCATGCTGCTGTTTTATTTTGAATAAAGAAAAAGAGATAAAAGGTGAAACCTAGTTGAGGAAATAGAAGGCCACAACGACGATCTAGTGTGGTCAAGTCGTGCTTGAATGACGCGTGCTCTCTAAGTGTCGTTCACTAACGAGTGAAAGAGCTCTTTCGACTCGCGAATGGAATTTCTTAGGGGTTTTTACTGAAGTTTTCACATTAATAAAGGATACAGGAGTGAAATCCGTTGATGGCAGAGAAACAGGTAATTTGCTGAGCCCTTTCCTGCTGAAATATTTTCACCAACTTGTATTTATTGTTTGTTTGGTATCTACATACAAAAATATGTCATTATTTTAGATCCTAAAAAGAAAACATGCAAGACAAAACTTAAATGTGAGTAGCTTTTATATCACAACTCGCTTTCAAACATATATATTCTATACTGTTTTACGCCTATGCAAAATTTGTTACGCTGCTGACCAAACCTTTTCACGTCATCTTTTTGCCCGGTGTCAATGTGGTACTTGTACATGTGAAGGCCGTTGCCACTTGCTAGAAGGACGAATTTGTCAACATAATAAAATTTAGCTTGAGTTATTTCCTTGGAAAACGGTGGATTATCCTGTCGGAGAGGAAAATATTAACATTAGATCATAGAAAAAACGTGATATCATGAGGCTCTATTTCCGCCGGTCTGCGCTCCTCCCCAGTGGGTTCGGACGGGGGGGGGGGAGTTTGCGCGGGCTCATATTCCCGAACGGCAGCTGGTTGTCGAACCCAGCTTGAAGCTGGTGATGAACAGGTCCACGAGATTAAAAAAAACCAATCTCTTGACAAGACTGTTAACATTGACATCAGCACAAAAGGTGGGAGAACTAGGGGTGCCCAAGGGAAGATTACAATGAAAAGGAAACGTTTGAGGTTTGATTGATTTCAGGATGCCGGTCAGATTTATAGTGGAAAGGAACAAGTAAGATACCAAAGACACAGTGCCAAAATATGGAGGTTGATACTTCATGTGCAATTATTATCTACGCCTACCTTAACATTTGTAGAGCTGTTAAGTTCTGAGGAAAAGTTGTGATTGACAGATGAGAATGTCATCACAGGATCCGAGTGGGCGGGGCTCCACAGTCTGACAGTCTTGTCACTTGATGACGTCATCAGCCAGCGGCTGTCATGACTGAAGCTAACACTGGTCACTGATCCGTCATGTCCTGACAACAGAGATAAGACAGAAATGTTGCGAGTCACATTTGTTGGAGATTTTACAAGTTGTTTTGCTTTTGAAAAGGAATTCTACTAGTTAGAGGGCGGGAATAAAACTTTGACTTAACGGTGCAATCGGTCATTTCACATACCTTGTCGATTAGTCAATGAACCAGACAATAAGTCAATCAACCAACCAACCAATCAATCGATCGACATCTCAACCCGTGGGTGTGTCACTACTTCAGCGAGTGAGTTAGTCAGTTAAAACATTTGTAAGCCTCAGTACAAATTAGAAAATTCACAAGAATTTCCAGTTTGAAACAAATACAACGTTTGAAGAGCTGGCGGAAATGGAGACTAATGAATAATAAGATTCATTTGCCATAATTCGCTGACGCTTTATTCCTTGCTTCAGCCGTCCTCCCACAACATCAAGAACAAAACTACTATGGGGTACGAATCGTTTTGGAATAATTCAGTTAGTAACCATTCATTGCCTCTTTTCTAAGCCAGCTACTCATTCAGAGTAGGCGAGAGTTTGAAAAGAATCAGTTTTCTCACCTGTAAACACTCTCTCCTTGCTCGAGGGAGGAGGTCTCATCATATGAACACTCTTGTTAGCCAGACCACATGCGATATGCTTTCCATCGTCTGCAAGTGTAAACAGAGGAAATAAAAGAGACATCCTTTGAAAAACATCTACCGTCCTTTCGACGTCGACGGCACTTTGACTATAGTATGTTTGGTATGTGTTCCGCTCTTCCTGTAGTAGATTCTATTTTTCCCGGCGCTTCACACTTGATACAATTTTTGTCGCACTTCTTTCATTTGTTTTCCAGCGCTTTCTGTTGGTTAGATGTCTTGACTGCGCATAGGTAGTTATTTTTGTGATCTTCTTACTTAAAACCTTGAACACTCCTTTTCACAAGCGTACCTGAAAACACGATGCAGTTTATGGGGGCTGGTTTCTCAGTAAGCCACAGTTTATGCTCCAAGTTGGTGGGTGCTTCACTATCCATTGGGTATTCCTTTAATGACGCCCTTAGAAAGAAATTAATTGAACTATTTGAAACTTCAGAGGCTACAAATCCTCCCGGCGAGTGCTGCTTGTTCCCTATTCGATGATTCAATATGTTGTTAATGATGAAATTTCTTGCACAATTCAGACAACTGGTGCTTTGATTTTTTCTCAGAAGAGCGAAAGCAGCGTTAAATTGATGGGGCGAGAATCAGAACGTTTGCAGATCATTTTACTCAACTTGTTCAATGAGAAAAAACAAAACAAAAACAATCCGGAGGTTGATTATCTTCTCGAGGGAGGCACACCCTACCTGATTTCGATCTATCTCCACAGAGAGAGAGAGATATAACAAACGGCTACCAATCTATTCATTATTTGTATAATTCTTCACTCACCCAGTGCTCAGAGAAGTGGAAGCCACTTTTTTCGACGGGAATGCAGATGGTTTTGGCTTTGAAGCGCTTGTGTTCGGTGAAAACATTTTGGACCTGATAAAAAGAAGATCAATAATGCAGGCTGAATATGAGTTCAAATTATAGCCTCAGCGCAATATCATGGTTCAACCAAAATCCTCTACCCCTCCCTAATTGAACACTTTTTGAGATAGAAAATGATCGCAGGGTTTTTTGCCTTTAGGAGACGTTTATTTTGCGCCGTAGCTCTGACTGACTCCTTAAATGGTTGCATCATTTGCACCAACAATAGCAAGTCAGCCTTTAGGCACAACAGTAATTGAAAATCCTAGTACACTGCTTTCATTACAAAAGCCCTGTGAAACGAGAGCATTGAGCGTCGTCGGAATTTCAAAACTCTTGGGAGTTACCGTCTGTTTCGGAAAGAAAGAAGACCAACTGATGAGGAAGACATAAGGAACGAAAGAAATTCACCTTGGTGCTGAAGATGAATAACCAGATGATTTCACTTTTGGATGGAATGTTAGAGGCTGATCAAGAACTCTTGTTTTCACATCTAGAAAATGAAAAACAAAAGGATGAAAAAATATACAGCAGGTAACTTTGAACAGGTGAGACTAGCTCTCAGCGGCAGAAAGGTCAAAATGGTTACAACTAAACTTGCTCATCAAAATGCTCGTCGTCATGTAAGATAAAAGGAACGAGAAAGAAAAAAAGTTCATACTAGGAAATTGATTTTACCCTACGATTAATGAGGTCAATTGTGGACTCAACTAACCTTTGGTAGAAGATTTTTGTTTCTGCCGCAGTTTGGTTGCTGTTTTTGGAACAAGCTCTGCTTTTAAAGGCGAATTACTACACAGCGGAGCACTGTAAACAAAACGCAGAGGTAAAATTTTCTTCCCAATTCACGATAAGTCAGTTTTTCAGATGTACATCGTAAACAAAGTTGCGGTTGTTTCTCTTTTTGACAGGACAGTAACAAACAAACTCACAACCACATCAGCCGCATTTACGGGTCATGTGTGTTAGCTTTGAGTTTTAATTGGTCCGTCTTGATATGTACATGAAGTTTGATTGGTCGCTAAGCTTGTTTTCGTTCAAGTGTAAGGGGAAATTAGATTTTGACACTCTTGTTGCCATAGTAATCATACTTAGAGAGGACAGTGACGGTGCTGGTTGCCATCTCGGCGCCTCCCATGGGTGACGTCACTTCAGTCTGGTCACTATGGGAACTTAAACCTACAGACTGTGACAGTCTTTGAGGCAAGTCCTACAAGGAGAGAATGCAAAAGGATAGCGGTTAAAAATATTCGTGCGGCGTTTCTTTCGAATGGGGCGTTATTCTACAAGGAGAAACAAAAGGTAGCATCCTCTTTTCTGACGTGCAATGGAATATTTTGATGGCGGAAAAATAGCGAGTCGTGTACATGTTGTGGTTCAATTTTATCCTTGGTTCAAATTCTATTTTCCTTTGTCTCAAACTCATTATCATACATTACAATACCCAAAAACAGAAGAAAATAAAATTTGAACCAAGGATAAAAATGAACCACAACATATACACGAATAAGGAACATAAATTTAAGGTTTAAAAAAAAAGTACAGTAGAACCGTAATTTGATGAGGATTGACGGAATTGGTAAATGTGTTCATTATATCGGAGTCCTTTTCCCAACATTTAACAAAATTATTAAAGAAATTCTGACACTTCATGAAACGCTCCTTCCTAAAGCTCAATTTTATCACATTTCTTGTTTGTTTGTTTTCTTTCCTCGGTTGTTTCAACTAAATCCGAGACCATGTAGGTTAGTGGGTTGTATGAAACACGTTTACAATTAACACCTCCGCGCACCTCTGCTAGTTGTTCAACCGTAAACAAGGACTTAAACAAACAAAATGGACAAAAACGCTGTTAAGAGAACACTGTTAACCTCATGGAAATTCTTTGTCTCCGTGTTAGTTGTCGGCTTCCTGATTTTGACAACATTCACTGTATTTTGAAACAAGCTGCCAATCAAACAAATCATCTGAAACAAGAAGAGAAAAGTAAATATCTGAAAGTCTGCCTTGAAAGAATAAACATAAAACTGGTGGCACCTGTATGACAGAGAAGAGATTAATTGATAGCTAATTGATAGCTTCACATTAGAACTGATGGAGGCTCTACATTCTGAGGCAAATTGTCCAACATTTATTTATCATTTGTCTTTCGATTATTTCCCAGTTTTTTACTCACATTGCCATCAGGCCTCTCCGCAAACGCAAATGAACCAGGAGTCGAGATGTGATATTGAACATCATCTAACTCGCTACTGGACAAAATAGGCTCTGCAATATTAATCACAAATTGAATAATTCATTAATGTTAGTTTTGAACTGAAACTTGTGAGGCTGTCTAAAAACGTCATCCCCTGCACTTAATGTGCCATAAAAGTTTCTATATATCTGTAAGAAGACTGACAACATCCTTGATGTCGGAAAACTGACATACTTCTACAGCCCTCTAACTATTTCTGGACTCAATGACATTTTTTTATGATTTTATAATTGCTATACTTTCAAAGAAGTTGTACGTAATGTTATCCAATTGTCTGACATCATGGGCAGTAGCCTAAGACAAGACCAAAGCCCTACAAAATTTCTAGAAATGTCCTTTACAGTTAGTTGGCACAAGCAAGCCTCTTTGCAAGATCATCAGTTTCTACTGTGGCTGTAATCCACTTATTCAATGCATAAGTAGACAAATTATCTTATGCAGTACAAACCTCATGGAACAATTAAAACAAACTGTGAGACAAAAAAGTTTTAAGCTGCTCTTGCAATAAGAATTTTAATTCAAAGCATGTATGCAGGAGGTGGAGCGTGGGGGGAGGGTCCCTCACCCTGTCCTTCTCCCCCAAAGTTCAGAGTTTTTGTTTGGGGGGGGAGGGGGGCATAAGCCCCTGCTCTTCCTCCAATAGTTATTATGACATGATTCTTCAGGTTGTTGGGATGTCACTCACTTACACATGATAAGACCACACAATTGACCATTACTCCTGAGTTCAAACCATTAACCCTTCACCCTAACATCAGTATGCACATTCTCCTTACTTTTCTCCAGACATTTCCAAAGAGGCTGACAAGGAGAACTTGTTTTTAAAACAATCGAGAGCTGCTTTAGTTAGTGATCAACTCCTCTCTTCTCATGACTTTCATGTTTGATTCAGAGGTGATACCATAACGAGAAATTAGATGCTAGTCACTCTTAGGGGCTAAAGGGTTTATTGTGTATTGAGTAAAAGACTACCTTGAAAGTCCAGAACATACAGTGGCTCCCTGCTGTCACAGTTCAACAATACAATGGCAGCTGTTGTTGCTATGGCCACAATGGAGGACACATGAAACACATCCCTTTAACAAGAAAACAAACAAAAGATGTCTGGTGCTTGAACATAAATTATTTAATAAGCTCAGTTATGCATGCATTCTAATTGGTTCTCACTTATGATCTATTGGAGGACAGACGTATAGATGACATCATCATTAAAACTTTTAAAATTCTTTATTATATAAAACAAATAGATTCCAAGTTGCTGTGCATCTGTTCAGTAACAGATCACAGAGGACGTCAAAATGTGGTAAGAACATCAGTGACACACTCCGCTGCGCCTCGTGTGCCACTTTTTTGTTCTTACCACATTTTGACATCATCTGTGATCTATTACTGAACAGACGCACGGCAGCTTGGAATCTATTTGTTAAATGGAGTAGAGAATAATTTAGTTTCTAAAACCCTTTCAGTCTCAGAATTGGCCCTCTACGGTCAACTGATAAACAGACTCAATTTTCATACATTTAATGAATTCTTCTCTAAATAAATAATGCAAAATAGTTAATACATAATACTGGCCAAGTGGAGAAAGAGATACACTGTAACTTGACTGCAAGTTTAAGAACCCTAATTTAAACAATATCAATAATTATATAACATAAAATACTAGCCAGCCTGGATTCCAAACTTCTTGATTTGAAGTCTACAACTGTGTGGTGAAGTAGATTTTTGTTGGCTCACATATTAATCTTTGTTCTTACTTTATGGCTGATCCAGTGTGTGAGCCAAAAAGGACCCTGTGTGCTCCTGCATCCCTATGCCTAGCACTTTCTTGAAGAGGGTTTGTTATGAAGCAGACAGCAAGTACAGCCATTCCTGGTTCCAAAACAACTGCATTTCCTTCATCTGGGGTACTTTTACTTTGCCAGGTTGGCTGACTGTTTATAAACGAAGGCCCATTCTTTGATGTTTCTGCTATAGTTTCTTTTTGACTCCAATATTTTTGCATCAGCTGATTAACATCCAGTTCATACAAGCATCGGTAACCACCATTGTAAGTTAGGTCATACAAGTGAAGCTTTAAAAGTCAAAAAAAATTCACACGAGTCAGTATTTCTCTATGTGAAAGTGATAATTGGTTGCAGGCTCATAATTCTGTGACTTGTTACCTTCCCATCAGCAGAACCAATTGCCATCTGTTCTTGAACAGAATCCATAGCAAGTGAAAGGAATGGATGAGCTGAAAATAAGGTATTCATAAGTTAGATTACAAATCCTAAACTCAAAGCAAACTTGCAACTATAATTGAACAATTTTCTGCCTTTACATGCCAGAAAAAACTGATCATGAAATTTATTCTGAACTGAAGGGGATAAATGCTAGGGAAATTTCTTACTAATCTACTGTGTTTCTAGTTTATTCATTAAAAAAATCTGAATAACTTGCAAGGAGTATACTCTAAGGATAAAAAAAAGAACTGATTCCAAGGGTAATTTGAATGTTTCCTTGCTCTATTCAAGCAAATACATTTTAACCCTACCTGACAAAATGGCTGACTGGTACACCAAACATGACTGCTCAATGTTCCACACCTTGAGTCATAAATTTGATGCAGACAAAGTGTAAGCAAACTGTTAATTAGGTTTTGTAAAATCTTTAATTTTAGGCCAAGAATCATAACTATAAGCCTAGCAAGTATGCAGTTAATGCACTTTAATTTTCTGAGAGTTGTCTAAATTTTTGTAAGAGCAGGTTTGAAACTGGGAAAAGACAGGAAAAGAAAAAGAATTTTTTTTTCCTTTTCTCACTATTCTCTCTTCCCTAAGATGATTCGTACAAAGCTAAATTAAGGATCATCCACTATCCAGAGCTATTGTGTAAATGACAAAGCTACAACTACAGTGGTGTTTGTAGTATTTCAAACTTCCACAGGATCTGAAATGTCTCAGCCAACTGATAATAATTTAACCCTTCCACTCCTAGGAGTGATTACACAATATCAGTAGTTCAGGTGGTGAGTTAAAAAAACATTTCTGAAAGATAGTTATTATGATAAAATGTTGTTCTACTATAAGCACAATTAATGATAACTGTTGGGATTGAAAGGACAGTGATAAATGTTCAGCTTGTACATTATCTTTTAATGTACTGAATTCCTGTCAGGGTTTATTCGTTAGATAATTACATGCATGTTGGTATTATCATAATGATAATTGTCATTGTGAAAAGTCTTAAATCATTTCTCCTGCTTAAAAAATGTTCAGTACTCAATGTAACAACTTTCCCTGATTACTTCCTGCTGCAATGCTTTGTCTAAGAAAAATATAAGTTTACTAAAGTATATAATACACTGGCATGTACATTGAACATACCTTAAAAGTTCTGTCTTCACTTATAGACACAATGATTGACTCATTTTTAGGAGGAAACTCTGCACATGTTACAATGCTGGTGTGGCCCTCCAACAAAGTGTCCAGTTTGCTTGTCTAATAATATGAAAAATAAGAAAGGTATCAAATATATTTCTGAACTGACAAAAAAATACAAGTTTGTATTATAAATACTGCAAGTCTGAAATGACATACCTGGATGTTAATGACCCATATTTCTCTCCCAATACATGCCGTAATCAACCTGTCAGTCATGCTAAAGCTAAGATGTTGGACATGTCCCAGGTCTTTACCAACTGGTATCCCACTGCTATGATCACTAGCTGTAATATAAAGATGTTCAATATTGACGTCTATTGATTAGAACTAACCAGGGAGGCCATTCAATGGATCATTTTCTCGACACTGTAATTTAATTTTCAAACTTATGCTTCATTCAATTTGAAGCATTGACATATCCCCTTCCTGGTAATTTCCCCATCATTTGAACTTTTAATATGCAGATTTGGTTCATTCAAATTCCCTTCCTGGTGACAAAAAATTGTATTCAAGTACACCACCCAATTTTTTTGCAGAAGGTAAAATCAGTGACCATCACTTTCTACACATCGACCAAGCTTTATAACTTTGCAAAATGAATGATGGGGGTCATTTTCTAAAGAAACCGTGGTGCTGTGTCAGTGGGAGAGTATAAAAGGGTGATTAAGTTTCATCAATTGAGTTGATGACATGAATTGGCAACTGTAAAGAGTTACAAAGCTGATATTTTGAGTGTTTAAGCCCTTTGTCAGAGAGTTAACCTTTTGTCATTCACTCTGAAAAAGGGCTAACACTCAAAACATCAGACCTTTTCTTTTGAGCTATTTACTAGCACAAATGAAATATTTACCCCAAATTCCAGGGTATATTTAAATATTTACCCTAACCACCAAATTTAAAGATACAACATTTGTATTCTGCCAGAAAGACTTAACACTTCTGATGCAAATTCCCCACCCCACCATAGGCAAGATTCACATTCCATTCCCCACTCCCCTGCACATATGATGGCCTATACCCATGGGCTGCTCAGGGAAGGGGGGGAGTGTTAAGTTGAAGCTTCAAATTGTTTGACACATTAACATAAAATTTTGTCATGCATGGAGTGTCTGCCTCATTCCCATAGTTTATTCTAGATGTTTTGCATATAATTTGTACATCAGCACTGTTCTCTAAAAACACTGGCTGCAAACTTTTTCAGTCAATTCTCATTTCTGAAGCACTGCCTACTTCAGACAAAGCATTAGAAATTCTTCTCTTGATCCAAATTAAATTGTACATGTACCCTTGTTGCCCTAGTGTTTTTTTTGTTTAGCAACCATAAACTATCTGGCAAATATTGCATTAGTATATCATACTTATATTGTCAATAGCCAAAAGCTTGTCAATGTTCCAGATGTAGATAAAGTCTTCTGATGCAGTGCAGAGAAGAAGAGGTCTGTCCTTTTGTCCAAAACAAGTGGCACTTATTATTCCACTGTGGCCAGAGAGCTGTAAAGGCTGAAAATAAAACTTAAAATGAATAGTGTATAACTCTTTGTAAATTCAGAAAACAGTTTTATGGTAAAAAAAAAAAATCCTCATGATGTTAGATGTTGTTGCTATAGCAGCTGCTTTCGCCAATCGTTTTTCTGAATGGCTGAGAGGATCTAAAGATCAAACGACTACTGAGTCATGTTCAATGAAATAAATAGCTCTGAAAAAAATCTGTCATGCTTCAAAGATAAGAAAATATACTAGAAAGTAGCTGTTCATTTAACACCCTACAGCGTCCGTATCCTCAAGAAGACATGATTCGATAATATTCTGATAAGTAAAAATGCTTAATCGTGAATTTATTTTAACATCAACGTGAAAACCAAGTGATCTTATTACTTCTTATTAAAAAAAAAAACAAATCAAATTCAGTACCTCAAAATCAAGGGCAAAATAACTTCCATCAAATTTTAATTGTTACAGTTAACTTAGTAACTATAGGTAACAAATCTAACTCCATCTTTAATTGGCTTTACCTTCCTCGAGATATCTCCAAGCCACCAAACTCCTACAATAGTCTTTGTTAAGGGCAATGCGACGAATTCGCTTGTACAAGTCATCTGCAGTTGTCCTGGAGAAGAAGAAACACGAAGCAAACCTTCATGACTTGCCGCCATTTTGTTCAAATCTTGTTTTGGGCATACATAACCTAGTGTAAATCTTTGATGCAGACTGCTGAACAATTGGTTTGGCATATGGGAGGCTCATAACTAAAATCTGTAATGGCTTCTTCTAATACTGCCGGCTCGGCGATCGATGCGGAGAACGTTGGAAAACTGATCAAACATGCTAAAGACACGCTCGCGGTAGGATTATAATGAATAACATACTTTAAAGAGAGATGACGGTGATTAAACACCACCTCAGGTGTTGTTGTCAAGCTTTACGCGATCGATGGTACCCTAGACTTGATTATCTTATCTCGTGATGGGTATAACTTGCACAAGAAATTAGCCAGGCTTGATCTTTCAAGTTTTCAGTTAATAATATTTATTAAAAGAGATGGGGTTCAGTGACTGTGATTCCAAAATTTCTCTGCAACCTGATGAGACAGATGTTACGTAGCTTAAGTTCAACAATTCCATGTACATTTACTGGTACTCGCCCTAATATAATGCAGTCACTCGGTTTAATTTGTTACAGAACGTTATGAGATTAGCAAATCAGGCCATCGATCAAAATGCAGAAGTTGACCTTGGAACGTAAGTTGATATTTTTGTGTTATCTTATCACATTTCTGCTTTAAAATGGTGTGATTATTTGAAAAGAGTAATTCCTTTTTGATCAACCTTGGAAGTGAAAGGGTTTATTAGCTCATAGGATAATTTGGTTTTAATTAACTGAGTTTGTAACGTAAATTGGCCATGTTAAAGAGTTTCAAAGCTGACTTTTCAAGCGTTAGCCTTTCATCAGAGCAAATATTCAAGAAGGACCAAGGCCCACAATGTTAGCTTGGAAACTCTTCACAGTGGCCCATCTACATTATCAATGGAGTTGATTAAACCAAAGTATCATGTTATATTCTCCCACCAATGCAGTAACACAGTTTCTTTTAAAACTTTCTCTCTTTATTCATTTATCAGCTCATAGACAACTAAATCAATGAACTGTATATGAACCCCAATGGACAGTGGATATATGTAGAGCTTGATATAATAGCAAAACAGTGCTTGCAAAAGGAAGTAACAAAATTTTGAGACATTTTCCTAAATATATGAATTATCAACTGAATAAATGTATAGGAAAAATGATAAAAATACAATTAGTTGCATATGATATGAAGAAATGAGATGAGGGCACCACATAAGAACAGAGCAAATGAGCAAAATAATGTGATTTGCAAAGAGTTACATTTTACATAGCTTGTTTCCAACAAAAATCTGAAAGTATTGTTCTTTCCTTGCCTCTTTGACCACCACTCCACCTTGGGTCAGGCACAGTATAGCTTGCTTGTGGTAATTAGAGCTTATCCTGTGGTGTAGTATTTGTACAAGAGCTATCAACCTCTAACTACCAGAGGTAATCAACACGCAACTTTGCTCAATAATATCCATACATCATCCAGCGAAAAAGCAATGGGAATACTCAAAGCTATCAGGCAGAAGTTGTTATTTTGATCTAACACCAAATTCTCATAACTAATTTTCGAGGAAATGTGTAGCAGCTAACGTGGAAAATTAACAATCAGATCTTGGGAGTTAAAGGGTTGAGCCAATCAGCTGTTTTGTCACACTTTCCTGGTAGTTAAAGGGTTCCCAATTATTTGGTCGAAAGAGAAACACTGTCAGAGAAATATGATTATTTCTGTAAATAAGAAATAATTAAAACTTACTCCTGACCATTAACTCAATGAGACAAGTACAATATTTTGTTTATTATTATTATTATTATTATTATTATTATTATTATTCTACAGGAAGACAACTGAGGGGCCAAATAACAAGCTTGAGAAAAGTTTAGAAGATTTTTACATTGCATGTGACCAGCTACAGCTCTATCTGGTAAAAATGTTGTTTTTTTTAATTGTGAAAAAACCTGACCAACACTCTACAAATAAGAAACTGCCTGGTAACCGATTGCCTCAAAAAATCTTCCCAAAGGATTGCATTTTTAGCAATAATTCACTGATTATGATTTGTATGTGTTGACTTCTTCATGCATTTTGATTTGGTTTTTGCCTGTTAATGTGTTTGAGAATTGACTCGAGGATGATATGATTACTAGCAGTGTTTTGTATCTTTACCATGTAAATGTAAATTAAGACCTCCTGCTGCTGTATGTTGCCTTAATACCACCTCACAGAGATGTGCTAAGCTGACCCTTGGAAACTTGCCCACTCTACTACATTTCACCCTTTTTACCCCAAAGAGTGACTAGTGTCTCATTTCTCCTTATAATATGTCCCATAAATCAAACATTGAGGTCACAAGGATAAAGGAAATGATCACCAACTAAAGAAGCTCTCGATTGTTAAATAATTTCTCCCAGTGAGGACCTCAGGAAATGTAGAGAGAACTGTATGGAAAGTATGTATACTGATGTTTGGGTGTGAGGGGTTAAAACATCATCTGTGATCTTTTACTGATTAGAGGTGTAACAAAATGGCATCCACAGTGTAGCAGTATTTGGAAAAATCTCTTTTCCTCTTCCTGTCCCTTTCAATTCTAAGAGATACTTAATGACAGTCTCTAACCAAGAAAGATTGTTGAATATTAACCATGTTACTTTCTTTCTCTAGGGGCTCATGAGGGAAACAGCAAGTCAAACTCACAATAGTGGAAGATACACACCCAAACCTATATTCAGTAGCAAAACAGAGAACGTTGCAGGGACACAGACCTACAGTGAGTATCTATCGACAGTCCGCACTCAGATAGCAGCCACAAAAGAACTTCATGATATGCTGTCAGAGTTTTCCTCTGCTCAGCTACCATAGCCAGATTGATATTTAGAGCCAGTTTTCTATTTCAAAGCACCATTATTGTGACCAAGGTCACTTGAACAAATCTAACCAGGCACACTACAAGAAATGGATTTTACTTCCAACTAAATTTAAGAATTGAGATGGAATTCAAGATTGTTTCCTGTCATCACGTTGGTAATGGCAGATTTTCTTGTAACTGCTTTGTCTTTCTGGGCTGAGTTATTCAAAGCCTTTTAAAAAATACCTCTCAATTCAAACCACATGAATTGCAGATGGAAGCTCTTGTTGCCCCCATATTCTGCTGGAAAAAATTACGATAACATTACAACAAATGAGCAAACAGTGTAAGAAAATGTACACAAGAAATGTATAAGTAATGTACATTAGTACACAACAAAAAAACAAATTTAAGATTTGCTTCTTTGGCAAAGGAGATGCAATTTTACATTAAATGGTATGTCGATAAAATTACTGATGCCGGCTAATAAGAACTAGGCGATGTTTAAAGGAAAGCGGGAGTTTCGCTTCCCTCGGTTTCTGTATGGACTGGTTGAGCCAATAGTAGTCCGTGTCAGTGTCTGTGTATGGGGGGGCATAATAATCTGCATGTTACGATACGACACGATACGAGAACTTTATTTGTACAAGGTATTTCCATCAGTCAATTAAGATACCACACTATCTACCTATCTACCTAACTACGATAAAAATAATAAAAATGTTTCATAAATAAAAACTGCTTTTCATGGAGGCCGTGTCTAAAATTTTACTTAAACTTAATATACTACTTAAAACTGTGGCAACTTAATCTAGATTTGAAATCGGTCAATGAAGATGTTTGCCCTAGGTCTATAGGTCTATATAACTGAGCTCAGCTACACGAAAAACTTCCCTTGAGACAATCAGTTCGAGGTTGTGGAAGAACTAGATTGTTTTGGTATTTCTCAAACGATAAGCACTTACATTGTCACGATAAACGAATCTTGATCTCAAATACTCAGGCGTCTTATCATTTGATGTCTTACATTAAGATAAACTTCAGTTCTAAACTTTGATAAAAAAAGTTTTCGCCACCTTAAAGCCCGGAAAAGAACATCCAAATTAGTATCATAGCTCACAGACATTATGTGCGAGCTGCGCCATTTTGATGCCTTTGGAGTTTTTCACAAAGGCCTTTGTTACAGTTTCCCCACAATACATTGCAATAATCAAAATGTGGTCGGACAGAAAGACAAGAAAATATTGTTGTTAACAATGATATCTTTACAACGCTTAACACTTACATTTAGATCCAAATTCCCTAAAGCTTTTAAGTGTCGATCCAGTAAACTGCTATTTATCCAACATATTTTGCGGCCAAGTTGCAAAGACACCCGTGAAAGAGAAAATGTTCTCGCAGATAGCAAACTATCCTTAAGTTTTCTTGTCTTTGGAGACGAGAGAGGCCTCTGGCTAAGTAGCGTTGTCACTTGCAAAAAAGTAGGATGCGTAGACTCTGTTGGATAACTTACGTCAGTTTCGAGATGATCGTGGTGACCTGCCGCTCGTGAGGACGAGTTGCCTACAATGCGAGTTTTCTGGTTAAGTCGACTTTACGCATCGATCTTACACAACAGTGTATATCCGTAGCGAATCCAATCTATAACTGATCAAATCGGATAACTCAATCGACGCTCGCTGTCACGCGAAAAGTAAAGTTGTCTTCTAAATCTCTTAAAATTTTCTAGCTGAGTGACCCCTTTCATTGCAGCATAATAAGTTCCAGACTTTTCAACGTATTGGACCCCGAGCTAGCCAATTTCAAATAAAACTAGACGCATATTTGCGTTCACTCGGGCTTTCTGTTGGAAAGAAACTTTGTTTTTTCTTTGTGCCTACATGTGCCTAAATTTTTGTGCAGTTATTGATTTATCCTGTAACTGTTTTCTGTCTTGCTATGCCAGAGATGCAGGTTTCTCACACATGTAAACAGAGAGCTGGAAACAGCATTTGTTATGTAGTGTAAAGACCCTTTCTGGGGTGGGGTGGGGGGAGTTGGCGCCATATATTAATGGCTATTACTTCAATACTTGTTACTCGACACTATTTCCATTGTTTTTTTTTCTTTTTTGAGTTTTGGGCTGAGCCATTTACCAAATAGGCTGTCTTCGTATGTTTTATTTTTCTTGGTTAACAAAAGATTCCAGGCTGAGAAAGCTTTTAATCATAAAAGGGGTGGGTACGGGTGATGGCTCTTAACCCATGCAAAAAAACCAACTGCTTATTTTCTCAATACCAAAAGAAAACAAAAAGTCACTACCAAAGCTTATTAGCAGATGAAATATTAATTTTATGGGGTTGTTAGAGTGGTTCTCATGAACCTGTGAAATATACTCCAGCATATTTTGTACTATTATTATATATTTTTATAATTTTGTACTATTATTCTCCAATTGGTTTGTTTCCATTTGGAGTTAGCAAAGAGAGTATAAAGCTACAGCACAACTTAGATTAATTAAAGTTTGTGGTTTCATTCACACTGTTTTGAGAAACCATCCTATTTTCATTATTCTCAATTTGTGCTCCTCTCACTTCAAATATATCACTGTTGTGTATACTCTGTAAATGATGCTCGACACCTGAACCGCCCGTAACCGCCCGTGCCGCGTGGGAGACTTGCGCGAGAGACGCTTTTCCCCCTATCTCCCCTACGTACTAAGCAGAATTTTGTCTCCAAACTTCCTCTGATGTTATAGGATCTATAAACCAATCAGAATCCGTGTTTTGCGTAGTTATTTTGATGATTTTAGGGGGTAGTACAAAGGGGTCATTTTATACGTTCACAAGAAATTATTAATTATGAAAAAATGGACGACGCGCGGCCGACTTTCAATATTTTCAAGTCGGATTTTCCGTTTCTTTCCGACCATTTTAGACCTCCTGGAACACAAAGTGAAAAGAAAAAATACTATAGAACAATCTGCTTGAAAAATAATGGACACCAATGTCTTAAAAACGACAAAATAAGCTTTCGAGTCGACAATACTACAATTCTTTAAAGTGATACAAATTAGGGCCGTAAAGTGAAAACCAAACTATCGGACTTTAAGCGAGGCCTAGCGACATTATGAAGATTCCAAGGCACGGTAAATATCTTGTTTGAGTAATTAGATGTCCAAAAAGTATTTTTTATTAGAAGATTTTGTGTTAAAACGTAGAACTTTCAGTATTTTCAACATAACGCTGCGCAATATTCTTGCCGTGAAGTCAAGTAAACATCGATCTAAGCATGATGAATTCTACTTCGTGGGTTTCGTACACGTAAGAAATTCGTACGTTTTTCGGTTCTGACAGAAAATCAAGAACTGTTTTGAATAAAGCTTTCCTCCCGAAACGTTCCTTGCTCATGCGATCAGTTTCGTCTTTCTTCTCATTTAGAAATTCCCTGTAACACGAGATCTCTCCACATACTGATAAATTTGCATATTCACTTTGAAATCCGATCTGCATACTTGTTAGCACACGTGCGCAAAAATTTATTGATTTTAATCTTTTATCTTACTTTTAGAGTAAAACTTAATATGCATCTATCGCTTTTTTCGTTGAAAGTAAGTTATTGAAATGGTCTTCTTTCACTTGAGCTTGTCTTTGGGAAAAGATGATTTATAAAACTTAATATATATATATATATATATATATTAATATATATATTATATATATATATATATTTATATATTAATATATATATATTATATATATATTATATATATTAAATATTATGAGAGGACAAAAGGACGCAACTACATTTCCCGACAAGCCTGTTTCGTGAATCGCTTCACTCTTCAGGGGTTTAATGAAAGAATATTCATGTGACTATCGTTTATATACTTGGAAAATTTGCATAATACGCGGTAAACTAAAAAGTTTACCGCGTATTATGCAAATTTTCCAAGTATATAAACGATAGTCACATGAATATTCTTAAAATTTGCATAATACGCGGTAAACTAAAAAGTTTACCGCGTATTATGCAAATTTTCCAAGTATATAAACGATAGTCACATGAATATTCTTTCATTAAACCCCTGAAGAGTGAAGCGATTCACGAAACAGGCTTGTCGGGAAATGTAGTTGCGTCCTTTTTTCCTCTCATAATATTTATTCTGCTCTGCTTCAACGTATTGAGCACTGTTCCACGCGAAAATCGACTTGCAGACTTCCTATTATATATATTATATATATTTATTTATATTGTGAAGATGGAATTTTTTGTATCTTCTACGCGTGATCCGGGCGTCTTCTAGGAAGGAGAAGGATAATTTTCTCTATCTCTTCGAAGAAAAAGACAGATAATTTTTTTGTATCTCCTGCGAAGACGGTGAAGGAGATATTTTTTTTCTCAGAGACTCCCTTTGCACTATCATAAAAGGAACAATAGTCTTTTATTAGTATGGAATATATTGTTTCCAAAAGAAGCACAACTTAAGTTTACAGTTCTTCCAAAATTATGAAATTATCTTACAAAGGTGAGCTTCAAGAAACTTCATGAACTCTATCGTTAGGTACTCAGTCTGCAACAACTTTTCACGATGATGACTTTCCATAAGCCACAAGAGAGAATGTTGATGAGCAGTTTGAGTCCACTATTTCGATAAACCTTGCTAAGTCATTAGTAAGTGGGAAAACCTGTAATTAGTATGTTACTCTGAGTATATACGATAACTGTTACAGAGTAACAGGCCGCTTTTGTTATGCCATGGACTCCGACTTGTGTGGGGAACGTCTTCTTTAAAACCGTTCTGTCCCTCCTTGACCTGTGTGGTGTTACTTCATCAGGTGTTTCAAGGGTTTCTGTTACCATCCCACGAACAGTCTGCCTGTCCCTTGACAGAAAATAGCTTGCTCCTTGGCGTGCTGTGGGAAGTATGTGCTCCTGGAATATATGTTCCATTGAAGAAATGTTCCTTGCAACGCTGTAAAGAAACAAAAAAATAGGCCTTTTTTTAGTTCAACGGGTTTCATCTCACGTTCGTCCTTGTCTCACATCTCTAAATTTTACCCAGCTACGGCAAGCCCGTCGCTAGAATTTTCTAAGAATCTTGCGTTTGTAAATATATATTAAAAAAGAATAAATGGAAAACCTTGAATACATAAATAAATTAAAATAACAGTAAATCCGTATGTCTGACGTTCACTTTCCTTGCGTTTCGTTTCATTTACCTTAATCTGGAGGATAACTGTAAAAAACCCCCAACAATTCCTTCCTTTTTCAGGATTCCTACGACCTGTCGCTTTTTCTGTTCACTTGAGAATTTAATATATATACCAAGACTCATAAAATGAAGTTTCCTGTACCTTAAAGTTTAAAATTGAATGCATAGATTCGAGCCAAACTCCCAACTTTATTGTACTTTTCTCGCAAATCATTTCAAATACCTTATTCTCAAGTTAAAAGAACAGGTCCAAGGACGATTTCTTAGTTCAGCTTTCTCATACGATCGACCTTTCGTAATTTCTTTTCAATCTTTATTTTATATAACCAATAACCTTTCCTGTACCTTTAAGTTTCAATAATATACTTTAAATGTATCAGTTCGAGCAAAACTCCCCCCTTTACTTTTCTGCAAATCGTTTCATTTACCTTATTTTGGAGAATAAATAGAAAGGTCCCAGGAAGATTTCTTACTGTGGTTTTGTGTGATGTGGAGAGACCTTATGAATAACCTTTCCTGTACCTTTAAGTGTCACTAAATACCGTAAACGCATAGGTTG